GATCTGCGCCCGGTTTAGAATAACGGCGTCTGGAGGAAAGATGGACGAAGAATGCCGGAGGAGCCTAGAGGAGCCTAGGGGCCATGCGAGCTAGTCCAAGAAGCGAGGATACGCCGCTGCAGACAACGAGCTGAGAGGTTGACGACATGAATGTTTCGCCAGCCGATTGGCACAATGCTAAAGACGCTGATGGGACCTCGCTTTGTCAACTGATCTGTGGTGGTTGGATGGAGCAGCGTTGAGTAATTGACAGTGGTGCTTTTTTTTTTTGAAGAGTCCCCTTCTGCAGCACTCATGCTAGTTCGTAATACATGCACAGTTATGCATCCGTGCCTACATGACGATTCCGTCACGAGATATGCAGAGTGAGTACTCCGTCCCTCGCCCCCGCTTCGTCCCTCTCTGGAAACTAGGCAGCACTTCTCTGCTAGATTAACTGAACAGCATAATATCTACCAGTACTCCGTATAAATGTTGTTGCCTTGAAGTGGACTTTTGATATTTGCGACGGGGCCTGAGACCGTCACGTGTTTTAAGGGGCTCAAATCACGTGAATGCACCGGCGATAAAGGTTTATCTCCGGCAGACGAAGCATTAGGCAATTTTTATTGAGGGTTGTGATGCATGTATCCGAGGTCGTATACGTTGGGAGGAGCTGGGAGGAGTAACAGGCTGTCAGTAGATACTGATGACGTATGGAGACATGGGCCAAGCCCACAACAGCAACCTCATCAGAGAGAAGGAGCCTCACTAGTAAGTATGCTGCTAATTATCAGATCACTTTTGTTAAAGGACCGCGAGCCGTCACAGTAAGTTTGAAGGACTTACTGCATAAACATCTTAAAGAAGGCTTCCAGAAGTAATCAGCTAGAAACTGTTCGTGCATGCTCTGTTCATACATGAATTCGGTAGCAAAACCGGTTTCTTTAGAGAGGCTAGTCTCGTCATCTTTACTCCCGTACAGCCTCATTGTGTGAGATTCGGGAGAGAACAGTTGTAGTTTGGGTGTAGGGCATAGGTACTTGAGTCTAACGCATAGACACAAGTTGGCGTCATGGGTGTTACCTTCATCCCAGAGAAAACCCTCTTAAAACGCAGGGAAATTTTGGACTGGAGCTATAGATACTCGTGATTGCCTGCTCCGTCTGGAGTGGCTGCGCAAAGAGAAGTGAGGAGAAAAATATTTTGGAAGCAAAAAAGGGATCAGGCGGAGGTACCGGATACTAGCAACGACGCAATAGATGTTACTCTGGCTGCAAAACGTGGATCGTTTTCCGCGTTCCGAGGCTGGCCAATATCGTAACTAACGCCAGAGGCCTGTGCAAGGTTGGGAGGTTGAAAACCGTTGTTGTGGTCTTCCACGTAGTTTACGTGGGCCTTGTTCTGCAGGTTGTCTCCAGGGTGTGAAATAGCCGTGCGGCGTATCGTTGGTTAGTTATCACTAAAGTGAAACCCCCCTGTTTTCCTTACCGTTAGTGCGGCGCATTTCTTTCATGTAACTCCGGGTACAGTTACAAAGGGGGTTGATGGTTTTCGTGAAAGGGTCGGTCGGTCAAGGTCACAAGCTATAGGTTCGAAGCTATAGAGCGAGTCCTGGAACAAATGTAACTGCGATGATATCCTGTTCGCTTCATGGGTCGGGAAAAAAAATGACATGGATGCATTATCACCAACATAAGTAACCTATCATGTGACTCGAGATGCAGCTTGATCCTCCTGGTTGACCAGTAGGGTAGAAGGTGCGAAGGTACACTTAGACGAGCAAGTGAATCCATATGCGTCATCTATACAGCAACGAATATGGCTCGCAGTCTGTTGGTGTGAGTGTACCGCCACTGCTCGGTGGATGGTCAATATGCAGGTGACAGGTGCAGAAGTGACATCGCGGAGCCTTGTGGAATGCAGGGAGAGAAGAAACAAGGCGAAAAAAGGCCCAACATGTATGGATCTCCATGAAATGACTGGTGCCTATCTGCGATGAACAGCTCGGTCCCGAGTGTCGGAGTTGGCCGCTGTTTTGGACCATGCATTCAAACTTGATGTATACACTCGTCAATCCCTCAGAGTGTCACACAAGTTCCCTCATGTCCACGCTACCAATGTACTTCGTGGAAGACTCTCCCCGGTCCGACGCCCGTTTGCTTTCAATCCCCGGGGAGATGTATTAGGCAAATAAGCGGGCAAAGGCCGGGTCACTTTGTTACCCCAACCCCACGCTAACATATCGAAAGTGATCGCCACGCTAGTCCGTGCATGTACGCATATCCTAAGCTCTATCCCAGGATATGACCCCTTCTGCATGCAAATGTGATAATGTGACTGACTGGTGTATTGTGCCACAGGTCTCATCATCGGGAAAGCTGTGTATCAAATGAAGCCATGCATTCAACAACACACGGCTGGATCTAGACAAAAGGGCGTTTAGAGACTCCACTTTGGGCGTTGTGCAGCTCTGTCATCGCCCGAATCTAGATACATAGAGACAAACGCGTCCCGTCCTTTCTTCCGGAACATTTGTATGTCATGATTCCTAATCAGGTACCTCCGTAGTAATTATGACATAAGGCTGATCGGGCAGCTATCATTATCTCATAACCTTGCTATGCAGGGAACAAGGAGCTTACCAGGCCAGCTGCACATGGCCTGTGAGCTCGAGCAACGAGGCTCCTGGGGATGGAGATTGGATTCACGCATGGGCGGTCCAATGGAAGGGTTCAGCCAGGATCAGCTCTTAGCTGGCGGGAAGTCCAACAGTAGTGTATCGGCCAACTAGTGGAGGAGATGCATTCGCAGCCCCCGTGCGTGGCCGCGGCCGTGCCGTTGAGGGTCTCGTAATGTACTCTGTACACGACAGGTATTCCCTACTTCCGTCCTGCCGTCGATGCTTTGATCGATCATGACGAGGGTAGGGAGATCCTGGGCGGCCAGCCATGGGCCTGGTCATCATATGCGTAGCAATATCAAACAATCTCGGGATATTTTTTGTTGGAACCGTGGATAGTGAAGGATTTGACTGACTGTACGTGGCTTTTCCAAGGGTATATTCTCAGGGGGATAAGCAATCTTCGCTGTGCAAGGCGTCGACTAGTTGCTGGTCTGGACTTGTCCCCGATAACTAGTTCGTTATCATAACCATAAATATGCCTGGAGTAGTTGGCAGATCATCCTAGTCATCACATATCCGCATTATCTTGCTTTGCAACCTTCAGTCCCCTCCATCCTGTTGCCTTTCCTTGTCTTCGTCCTCGTCTTCCTTGTGTGTTTATTCCTTTCGGTGAAGTACTCCATTAGAAACTTGGAAAAAACCATATCACGTGATCCGACGCTCTCAAAACCTTCTGACGTCGTTTGATAGCAACAAGAAAGCGCCAGGAGACCGAAGAGATGCCGTTGACCAGCTAGCAGCGTTGGATTCCACATGTAATGTCCATAGATATCAACTGGGAGGCCGCCACCTCTGGACCCGACGGGGAGGAGCTCGCTGAACGAATCCGATGCTTCATCCACGACAAATTCCAGCAGATAGCGCTCCCGCGATTCATCCGCTCCGTGGAAGTGAACTCGTTTGATTTCGGGACAGTCTCACCAGAGCTGCAAGTCAGGGACATATGCGACCCGTTTAACGATTTTTACGAAGAAGATGAGGATGGCGCAGACCTATCGGACAGTTCCGAGGGCGATGAACCTGTTCCTTCGAGTATGAGCCTAAGCCAGTCGACGCTGAAGGGAGATGCGGGTAGTCCTGGCAGCAGCAACGATGATGGCAGCGGGAATTCGAATGGCCGGTCCGGATATTTCCAGCGAAGACGTGGGTCCAGGGAATATTCCGGGGAGATTCCACAGCCATTGATGTCGCCTATTAATTTGGGGGAGTCGTTTAACCCATATCTATTTCCTCGAACGGGAACTCCCGGTATCCCGGGAGGAACGTCTCATATTGGGTATTACAATATGCCACGCGGAGGACTTTCTGGGACCCAGACTCCACTGGCGTCTGTTGCATCTGTGGCCAGGGGCGGGCCGTTATCACTGGCGGAGGGATGGCCACCTCCTGCTCGGCAAAGGGAGCGTGCCCGTAGCTCAGATACAGATGTGGATTCACCTCAGTCTCGATCACGGCCGTCCACGTCAAGCACGCGGCAAGTTACTCCTGTTGAAGGCGGCACACCCCGGGACCCCGCAGAGATACCAGAGTCAGAGTCAATTATCACGGGCCATCTGGATAGTGCGCTGCCCGCGCGGCGTATGAGAGAACAGAAGCCAGATGATTTCCAGGTTCTTTGCCGGTTGCAGTATTCTGGGAACATGAGGTTGTCGATAACAGCTCAGATACTGCTTGATTACCCCATGCCCAGCTTTGTAGGGCTGCCGCTGAAGCTTAACATTACTGGATTTACGTTCGATGGAGTTGCTGTTGTAGCGTACATCCGGAAGAGGATACATGTTTGTTTTCTATCACCTGAGGATGCAGATACTTTGCTTGGAGCAGACGACAAGATGACTACTACGGAAGACTATCATGAGCATCACGGCCACCATAGCCACCACTCTGGAAGTGCTAATACGACTGGCTCACGGCGTTCCAATGAGAGCCTCCTACGAGAGATACGGGTTGAGAGCGAGATTGGGCGCAAAGAGAGCGGGAAGCAAGTGTTGAAGAATGTGGGGAAAGTAGAGAAGTTTGTCCTTGAGCAGGTTCGCCGGATCTTCGAAGAAGAGTTTGTGTATCCTAGTTTCTGGACATTCCTTGTTTAGGAGCATACGTAACGGGAAGAAACTATGTAACATACTGTGTAGATAAAAAGGAGAAACGATCAAAGTGACAACTCTGGCCTACGGGACATTTTTTTAGGTGTGGTTGTGGGACGTCATGCAAACTTTCGGGTATTCTTGTATCGAGGAATTTCGCTGCAAAATGCGGGCGTCAATCAGTGGCAGTGGCAGTTGTGGGTGGACAGGCAGGTAGACAGGTAAAAGAGAGCAGAGTAGCTCTAGCTCCTTCATCGGTCCTTCTTGGTGGTGTTATCCTTGTTTTGAGCAGAAACCTCGTCTCCGAGCTTGTTGTACTCTCTGGACAAGCCCTCGCTCTGCTTCTTCAGGGCCTCGATGTCGTTCTCACGAGCCTTGAGCTCCTTCTTGAGTCTTCCGATCTCTCCCATATCACCAGCAGCAGCCAACTTAGCAGAATCCTTGCCGCCGGCCCTCTTGTCTCCCTCGTACATCTTAACCTTGTCTTCAAGACGAAGGATATCGAGGATCATGGTGTAAGTGCGGTTCAAGATAAGGGAGAGGAAAAGGGTGAAGCCGCAGAGGTACATGTTGCGCTGAGAGTAGAACTTGCGGGCCTGAACTTCCATACGCTCAGTTCCAATGGCATGTCTATGACTTGGCAAAAGATGCAAATGAGCGTGACAATTAGTTGTGGTGTTCTTGAGGAGCTATTTTATACACGAGTTGCTCAAGGCGGGGTTACGAGGACATACCCGGTGTTGGCAGCGTCGAAACCAGTCAGTTCAATCTGGACACGATAGACACGGTTGACGCTGTCGATGAACAGGATGAGAATGAAGATGAACGTTATCTGTGGCTCTGCTTAGATTCCGAACTTGCTTGGTTGCTGATACCGGGGCAGTGTGGAGGCACGTACCTTCATTCCATACTGCAGCTTGGCGACGATGGGACTCTCTGATATGAAGGTGAAGAGCTTCCGCTTGACGGTAAAGGGCAGAGGGACTATCAGGCCGACGAAGATAGCCATCTCCGTCACCAGGAGGACAAACACCTGTGCAATTGTTAGCAGAGCTGGCCGCCCGCTTGCCGTAAGTGGGCGTACGTACGAGGGTGAAGTAGAGTGTCATGATGGCGTCTGCCTGGCCTGGCTATGGCGGGCAGCGAACAAGCAGAGACGTCGACTTGAAGGAGCAGTTACTGTCAAACGAGTCTAGCGAACGAGTAAGCTGAGGATCACCGTCGTCGTCTTCTCTATATCTGTCTTCTTCTTCTTCTTCTTCTTCTTCCTTTATATATCGTTCGTTTCTTCACAACCAAAAGTTGGCAAGAAAATCCAAAAAAAGAAACAAAAACAATTCGAACGTCATATCATGTGACATTATGTCATGTGACTACCGGAAAAACAGAATATCCGGAGCCCTAATGCCCGATCGAGGCCCCCGGCCGGCCGGGGGATTCCAGAAAGGGACACAAACCCTAACTTTGGTCCGAAACGGGCGAAGACGACGACGTCGATGATTTTACTAGAAGACGCAGCATAAAAGTCGAGATGCGAAAGAGAAGAAGAAGAAGAAGACGAAGTAAAGACGCTAGAGGGACCAGCGGACGGGAGCGAACCAGCAGTCAGGGAGGAAGGAGGATGGCGTAGTCGTTCGAGCCGTCGCCACTATACTATTGGATCAGGGCATGACGTACCAAGCAAGGACTGGCTGCCCGAGAAAGATAACATGCATACGACAGCGTACAAGAAATCTACTTTCTCGCGGACGACTTCCCGAGGCATTTTTCCTTTGCCTGGGAATCAGAATGCTCGAGGCTGATAGGTTCTAAAATGGGCGTCGTTCCGGGCCAGACGAGAGAGATGTGAGGGATAAGGTATGACAAAGCTGGAGGTGGAGGGTTTAAAGAGTGCCGGATCCATGGAACCAGATCTGAGGTTGCTCCTTAGTCTTAGTCCCCCCGTGCAAGGCAAATAGGATCGGTACGGAAGGACGTTGCGTTGGCCTGGTTGTCAAACGAGCCAGCGAGCTGGTTGACTTGGGGGTCTGGCGAGCGTTCGGCCTCCGTTTCCCATCGTATCGTGGCATCGTATGTCGCATGGCAACCTAGAGAGACAGGGGTGCAAAGGAGGTTCGGAAGAGGATGAAACGGCCGTTTTACATAGAATCGCATGGCATAGCTTGTGTCTGGCCGTGGATAGCCCGTCCCTTTTGCTCGTTACCCTCCTCTCGTCACAGCTGGCATCGCCTTCTGCATGTCTGCATGTCTGTATCTGTTCTGTATGTGTGTGTATGTAGCTGTGTATGGATGGATGGATGGATGTATGTAGGGAGGCTGCAGTTTGCTCTCCCTTGCTCGAAGCGAACCGTGGATATCGATTACGTCGAAGACTGGCAAACGGGAGCCTGCATTGGGCCAGTCAAAGTCAAGCTGTATCCTCCTCCCAGCTGCCTGTTCGCGTCGTCTCCGTCATATCCTCCTGATTCCTGTTTGTTGCCTCCCTCTTCTCTCTCCTCTTCCTCCTGCGGCTGCTGTTGATAAACAACCGCCCAGGCCTCGAGCGATCTAGCGGACTATCAGATTCATATATGCAGGCCGTGATATGATATATCAACCACCCGTCCGCTCGCCCTACTCATTCTCCATCTCGTCTTGCTCTGCTTCTATTCGCCCTTGGTCGTTAGTTTGGAGTTAGTTTCGTGTTAAATAGGTAATAAGAAGCCGGCGGATAATCCATTTCTGGCTCCACCGAGAGACTTACTTCAACGTCCGTCTTGTTCTTCCTCGTCGTCCCGTCTCTCGCTCGCTCTTTTGCTCTCTTGCTCTCTTGCTCTTTTGGCTCTCCCTCACGGCCTCTGCCTTCGTCTGCTCCGTCTGCGTCCTGTCCAACTGCTCGCTGTCTGCTGCTCTCTGTCGCGGTGCTCCTCGGCTGCCGTCCTCGCTGTCTGGCCGCTGCTGACGCCGTTGCGGTGACTTGTGACTACTCCTCTGGGGCCGCCCTCGACTTTGACATCAACACCAACAACGCCCGCCTCAGACCATCGCCTACAACTACAACAACCACGACTACAGCCTCTACTTTCTACGACTGCAACAGCGGGAGCGTTCTTGATGCTCGACTCGTCCGAGACTCCGCCTCCTCTTCACTTCTCACCGCCGTCCAGCGAGCAAGATCGCACCTCGACCCGCGAGTCCACCCCGATTGGCACTCCCCTGGGCGTCGTCTCCAGCAACCCTCGCCGGCCTGAGCTGCTGCATAACCACCATCTGGGGAACCGCAAGGCGTCTGCTGCGTCTCCCTTCTCCCCCTCGGCTGCTCACATCCCCGTGTTCGACGACGAGGACGAGGACGACTCGATATTCCCGCTGTTCCCGTCGTCGCCGCCAGACCAGCATCACCACCACCAGCACCAGAGCAGCCACCACCAGAACCGCAGCCAGCTCGGCCAGCGTCGCCACCATCGCTACAACAGCAGCCAGCATAGCGTCACCATGGATGGCCGCGCCATGCCCATCGACCTGTCCGCGAGACAGACGTCCAAATCGCCACCAGGACAGCAGGCTTCCAACCTGACCTCGGCCCTCCAGAAGGCCGCTACCGGCGCTGCCGACATGTCCTCGAACTGGAACGGGGTCGCCTCGAACAACTTCATGTCCAACGCCGCGCGCAAGGAGTCCTTTAGCGCAACCATGGCCCAGTACTCGAACGGCAGCAAGCCCATCACCATGGTGGGCTCGAACCGAGATAAGCCCCGGCGTGAGAGTCTTGCCGGCAGTCTTGTCGGCGGTATGAGCTGGGGAGGTGTTTCCGTAGGCAGCTGGATCAGAGATGAGTGCGTATTATCTATCCCCTTATATATATATATATATATATATGCACATTTTGTCTCCCTCTATATTACCGTGTTTTAATGGCAGCTAACCGAGTTGTAGTATAATTATGACGGGAACTTCTCCCTTCACTCTCCAGTCACCGTCGTACCACTCGTCATCTTATCTGCCGAAGCTGGAAGCCAACTTTATGCGCGACTTCTCATGCTGTGGCATCACTCTCCCGTCACTACACGACCTACTCCAGCACTACGAAGAAGCCCACGCCCAGAGATCCCCGCAGCCGCCACAACGGTCTGCGCAGTCAAACCAGGCAGCTCAGTCAGATAACAGGGCAGGCATTGGTGCCTCCCCGCACCCTTCACAGCCCAGCCAGCAGCAGCCGAATATGGCCACTGCTCCGGGGCGAGCTGCTTCCTCCCAGCCGGGGACCCCTCGACCGCATCATAGACTACCGCAGCAACCGCAGCAGCCCATGATGCAGACTGCCACTGGGTTTGGCCAGCCACAATCCAACGATATACCGGATATCGATAGTGTAGATGACATGGATATGGAAATGGACGACCCTCTCAGTGATAGTGGTTTCCAGCAACAGACTCACCAGCAGTCGCTCACTCAGGCCCGCTTTGCTCAAGAGAATGGCGGAAGCAGGGTAACACCCCTAAATATGGGCATACTACAGGGCCAGCAGCGCTTCCGAAGCTCAGCACCCGGTACCCCCGTTTCATCCGGTAGACCTCTCCACAACAACCCAACCGTCTCATCTGTCAACACACCAACTCTCATGCCTCTTCCTGTTCAGCAACAACAGCAACAGCAGCAACAGCAGCAGCAGCAACCGCAAGCGCCAAACCCCCAGTATACAAGCACGCCAGAACCCTCTGCTCCCGGAACTCCTGCCGAACTAGATGACTCCATCGTCGGCGGATTCGGTGACATGAACATGCAAGGAACGGCTACTCCTGTAGGGACTGGCCCAGGCCAACAACAGTTTGGCACTTTCGGAAGCAACGGAATGCTCGACCTTTGTATCGATGAGCCTGCTAAGCGGCTATTCAGGCCAAACACTGGGTTTGGTAATGGGAAACAAGTACAGCAGCAGCAGCAAGCTCCTCCCTTCAGACTGGGTAACTCGCATTATGCTGCAAACAGTGAGATTGCTCAACATATCAGGGAACAGCAGAAACTCGCTGGCGTTCCAGACGTCACTCTTGCTATGAAGCCAGATGATGAGCCAAAGCCATTCAGATGTCCGGTAATAGGATGTGAAAAGGCATACAAGAACCAGAACGGTCTCAAATATCACAAATCGGTAAGCCGTGTCCTGCACTACCACTCTTCTTCCTCTTTTTTTGGTACGTTAGCTAACCTTCCCATCACCAGCACGGTCATAACAACCAGCAGCTGCACGATAATGCCGACGGTACATTCTCCATAGTCGACCCAGAAACATGTGCTCCTTACCCCGGCACACTAGGCATGGAGAAAGAAAAACCTTACCGCTGCGAAGTCTGCGGAAAGCGATACAAGAATCTCAACGGCCTGAAATACCACCGCGCACACTCTCCGCCATGCAACCCAGAATTCTCTTTCGCTGCTGCAGGCCGTGCTTTCAACACGGCCGGAGGCGTCATGCACGGAGATAACATCAATATTGCCGGGGCCGGGCTAACGGGTATCGGGGAGTTAGAGTGAAGTGTATTTCTCATTCTCCCGACCTAAGGATTATGATACCATAACATACCCTCTTTATACCCGGCCAGCCCAGTCAATGGCCAACCACGGAATAAAAATACAACGTTTCGGCGAATTCGTAAATCGGGGTGGTGAGACTTGGAGTGAAATTGAGAACAGGAGAATCCGGAGTCCAAAAAAAAAAAATTACACGGGAAGGGAAATCATTTATTATCTTTTGAAATTGGCCTCGGGAAAAGCCTTGTTGAGTTTTTCTGTTTGCTTCTTTCGAACTTGTCTTGCTCTTTTGATCCATTTCTCATTTTTGTGTTGAGTTCTTGGTTTTCTTTGCTTTTTCCCCGTTTTTTTCCTATCGTCTCTGGATCTCCTCCTTTTTGTTATCTCCATGTCTGATTGATTGATTGATTGGATCCTGATTTGCCGTCGTTTGGATATCCCCCCCTTTCCCTCATGTCTGATTCATGTTTTCTACCCATCTCCTTTTTGGCGATTTGATATTGGCTTATCCCGTCAACATCAAATACGTCCCCTTTATTTGTTGTACATACCACACCCTCTGTGATGCCTTTCCTCCTTCATCCTCCTTTCCAGCCCTTTTACGTGCCTTGAATGATTCAAAACGGCCTCTCCTATCAACCCTCATCACACACGGCATCATTTCCTCCACTCTCCTCTTCTTTTCCTTTTCGTTCCTGCATATACTTCTTTTTTTCAATATTGCCCTTGTTAATTCGAGCTTTGGAGGCATGTCATAAACCCTGGACCCTGCCTGGTTCCTGCTATACCCATACATATACCATACACCGAAATACCCATAGCGAAGCCAGCCAGTCCCAGCCAGCCAGCCAGTTCAAACCATCCTCGCCATCTTGTTTGATTTCATACCTGTGCTGTGTTGTGTTGCTTTGTTTTTCTTCTACTTTCTACTTCTCCCCTCCCCCCTTTTTTGGCTTTTACATCTTTGTTTAATTCAATTGCTGGATCTCGCTGATTTTTTTTTTTTTTGGTTTGGTTTGTCAATTCATCTCCTTGCTCCCTATGCTTGCTAGCAGGGGGTTAAGGCAAAGAGGACATGAAGGAAAGGGCACGGAAAAAAAAAAAATCATCATCATCTATCGGGGTTTCATAAGGGTGGTTATTGCTAATTGCTGCTTGATAGTGTGTTTGTGTATTTCATTGTCCCTTTATACTCTAAAATAGATCTCTAGGTGTGCTTCGTTTGCATGCTCTTCATTATACGCCTAGTTTATCTACGTGTGCCTCCGTGTGTTTGATTACTCTTCCATAACTTTGTATGTTTGGCCTGCTACTGCGTTATCCAGCCAATTGTTAAACAAGGTCTTGATGCCCTCTACTCCCTTGCATCTTTTTATGGTTCGCTACCGAGTAACTCTACTAAACTTGCTATATCTTGAGAGCTATCCAGCTGTTTCCGTATGATATCAAAGTAAAAGTCCCGTTCAAGTAGTCTATGTCAACCTTAGCCAGAAGAAATTCCTTGCTACTACTTGTTTAAATGTGGAGTCTATAAGGTAAAAATAGAAAAGGATAGACCGAATCCAAATACCGGCATCATTTAACTGACTCGAAGGTAAACTGTACATTTGAATGTCATCATGTCATATTTCTTTTTCTCAATTTAAGGGTACATGGGTATGTAAAAAACTAGAAAGCCCCTTAACAGGTAAAGTCGTGGCCAAGGAGAAGGTCCCTTTTCTAGACACTGTGCCGCGGATGGAAAGAGAGACAAGTAACAATGTATGGATACAGAATGGGGGAAAGAAAAGAAAAAAGGAAATCGTTTTCTCACCGCCGATAGTAAGACAACGAGGCACTGTCGGCAACTCCAATCTATTCTTCGGGCGACTGTTCGGATGGAGACTAATACCATTCGAATTCTCCCGTTCCTTTGTGGAATACGTATCTGCTCGAGAGGTTAGAGAAAATAAATTGGATGGTAGAGGAAGGGAAAACGCACTCTTTGCCGTCGGAAGTTAATATGCCGTCTTTCAAGACACACTTCCATTTACTTTTGACACGCTGGACTTTGTCGTATGTGCAGAGCATGACCTGGCCAACTGCATCGTCCTCACCTTGCTCTTCATCTAGTAAGTCATCAGGGTCATCGAGATCGGAGTTAATAGCATCTTCGTCATCATCCTTTTTGACTGGATAGTCGTCCGGTCCATCGAACTGAGGGTGTGATGGAGCTTCAGTTGGTGTACTGGATGACGGTACTACAGAAGACGCTCCTGTCTGGTTTGACAAGCTGTCTAGGTCATCAAACTTAACGATTTTGCGTTTCTTTCCATTAGCGTTGGGGTATCGTTCATGCAAGGGAGCCAGAAGTCCACCGCCTTCCAGCTGGAGGTTCCTTGACTCGACCAAATCTCTAAGACGGCGGTCATTTTCAGGACCGTTTTTGGCTGCTGCTTCTCTCCGTCGTTGGACTTCTGCTTTCCAATCTGACAAGTCATCGCTCGCGCCATCCGTCTGTGAGTTCTGAATGCCTGTTTGGGGTAGTCTTTGGGGTTGGGTCTGCTGTTGTCCCGGCGCTTGACCTTGGGGCTGAATCTGGGCCTGTGCCTGAGGTGGCCTAAAGTCTTGAGGTTTCGAAGTGCTCATGGGTGGAGGATTGTAACGCGGTTGTCCGCCGGGAAGAGATAAGGCAGCCTGAGAGTGTGACTGCAGGTGCTGAACCTGATTGGCTGCGGCATTGCCATACTTCTGGTGCAATGCGTTGGCAGCCCGCTGCTGAGCTAAAATTGTGCCAGCTGGGGGTCCTGGGGGTGGAGGAGAGAAGCCTCCTTCGGCCTTAACAAAAGTATCGCCGGATGGATGATCATTAGCAGACTGTAGACCGGCATGTTGGGGTATATGACTCTGTTGTTGTTGTTGCTGCTGTTGCTGTTGCTGTTGCGGCTGCTGCTGCTGCTGCTGTGGATGGAGTTGGGGCTGGGGGTTCATTCGAGCATCATTTGAAGGGATGGTACTGGGTGGAGGAATAGGGGACTGCTGCTGTGTAGCCTGGGGCTGCGATACAGGCGGCTGGGGTGCCGGATCCCACGGGAAATGTGCAACCCCAAGAGATGACAGCTTCGACTGCCAGCCCTATACATCAGTTAGCACAACATACCGCCATCGACAGTCACCTTCATATCCAAGCAGGAAGTTCTTAGATATGCTGACTAAGTCGCTTAGTCATCAGTTAAAGCGGCAAGAAGGACAGGCTAAAAGCGGCGGGCAGAAACGCCCCAAAAAGGCAAAAAGGCGGCAACAGGGCGCTTTAAAAACAGCGCGACCGCCCGCCTTCGCCTCCCCAACGTCAGGTCGCGCAAGGGAACGAGGCCGACTTTTCTGCGCCCACGAAGAGTCCCGGACAAGGGTTGGGGGAAGTCAAACGAAAGAGACAAGAAATACCGACCTTTCTTAGCTCCTCAAGCGTGTGCTGGTCGACACCGCTTTCCTCGAAGTCGATCTGTGAAGAATCGCATACTTCCTGGATCACTCGGTCGAAGACCATGCCCTAGATGGACGGAGCAGAGTGAGCAACTGTTCACACACGGCCCAGCGGTTTCACCGACTGAACGACCAGCCTGTCGACCGACAGTCAGACGCAGTTACTCACCACAAGTTGGTTCGACATCTTGCGAGAAACGTTTGTGTTTGGTAGAAAGTGACAGGCGGCAAGGATGATAAGAAGAAGGTTACTGTCTGGCGTCTAGGATGTTGGCGCTACCGGCGAGGAGGGTAGTTAAAGGTGAGGCGAGGACGAGGCGCGCTGCTCTGAGCAAGCGAGCTGTGATTGTAGAGACTTGTAGAAGTGAGCGGCCCTTGTTATTCTCGTTGCTTGTCCTGTTCCAACTAGGCTGTATTTGCAGGCAACGAGCCGCCACGCCGAAATCACCTCCCACTCAACGGTGACCGGCACTTCTGCGCCGTCTGTAGCAAGCTGTTTGTATACGGACTGGTGTAAGAGAGGATCGTAACTGTTTATCTTGTATTTCTAGCCTGTGGTCGGCGATTTGACCTCGATCTCGGGCTCTTGGGCGGTTGTTGGTAAAAGAGAGAAAATCAATTTATAGAAGAAATCTATCAGCACCAATCCATCTTAGTCAGCACAACCTCACTCCGCCGTTGTTTCGCTCGGTGCAAAATGCAACGATGAGCTTGACCAGCGACACCCTGAGGGCTGCATTGTGAATGGCGGTTATAACGCCTGTGAGTGATATGAATCGAGAGAGAAAGAGTGCTGATGCCGCTTGCTTGAAGGTGAAGGGACCGTGAACAGCTACAGTTACTCCATAGCTACGCCTGGAAGCTGCTAGAAAAGGAGAAAAGGGGGGTGAGTTGCGCATGGAATGGCTATTAAACTGATATCTAGTGATAGTATGCCTATGAGATCAGGGTGAAGGATTCATCGCTGTCCTTATCACTGCCAGTATCTCCATCACGGTCATCATGTCCGTCGATACCATTGTCACTGCCACAGTAGACCGTCTCTGGATCACGGTAATCTGGAGTCATCAAGATACTGTCCGCTAAGCAAATTTCGAGGTCCTCATAAGTTTCACCCCAAGGTGGTAATAGTCTAAAACTTGCCTCGAAGGCCATTCCATAGTAAAAGCGTTTTGGAAGAATGGAGCCAGAGACGTTCCGGGCAAGACTGGACAGCATACTGCGATCGAGATATTCCCCAGGGATGCTCCAAGGATGTCTGACTGCTTCTACTTCTCGAATCCAATTTAGCTGCCCGTGCCGCTTGATCATGAGATATGTTATCATAAATCTGAAGTAGAGATACCGCTTGGCTGGACGGTTGTCGTTCAGAAACTTAAGCTCTCGCCCATGGAGCGCCTGGGAAGATCTCGTGAATCAGCGTCTCTCCCTAGCTGTTGCACGGAGGATATGATCATGACTTACGTTCCAGGTAACCCCCGGAGAGACGGTTTCGTCAAGAAAATCCGTATCTGTCACGATCAATTTCCATTTGACTTCTTTGCCTGGTGCTGAATCGGGGACAATCACGATAAACCCAGTATTCAGTGCTTTGCCAACATTTTTATGCAGAAGGAGTGCTAAATATCTAGCTGTTAGCCTTCAACGTGCACATGGGGTTGCATACACTCATTTGGACAACTCACTATTTCGTGGCTCGTCTATATTGACATTTGTCGTCCCAAAAAGACGTGCAATTGCGTTGGCATCTAATCCTTCTGGTACTAAATGGGTAGCTGTGACTTCATCATACATCGTCCAGCCCAATGCATGGCAATACCCCTGAGTCTCCAGAGCAGCGACTCTTTTCCCGTCATAGAAATCATCAGCTAACTTCCGGAGCTGCTTAGACATATACTTTCTATTGAGCTCCTTCCCAGGAGCAATGGCAGCTTTACCAATGATTGCATTCATGTAGGCAGCATTAATGTCGTCATTTCTCAGTAAAACTTCTTGCATATCCTGCGTAATGATACGCTTCTGTCGACCTATGGCTCTCAATTCTGAGACCATCAGAGCAGACTGCATGCTAAGTTCACGGATATGAGACTTATATTCAAGGCTGGACAGATGTCTGAACCGGTATAGCGCATGTATTGCAGACTTGCAGTGTTCGATATAACCACTTTCTATTATCAAATTACCAGTTTTAGATATTAAGAAGTCTTCAATATCTGACGGATGAGGCACTGATAATGCTCGATGGAGATTTCTCTTTGACTTGACTAGTTTGGCCCAGTTAGCATCCGACAGTAGAGGTTCATACTTCGAGGGCAGATATTCTTTAATTTCAGGCATTGCAATGATTATCGGAGTGCATAGAGTGGCAGAAGCGATAGAGGTGCATCCAGTTCCAACCCCAGGATTCCGTAGCGGTATTTATATGTACCGGGGCGGAAGATAATATTGAGGGTGATGCTAGGTAATCTAGCAACTAGATAGATATTAGAAGGCGACCAAATGGTACGAAGATATCTCTCTTCTCGGGCGACCCATAAGGCCAAGAGGACCTGATAATCACTCAAGCAATTGGTTAAGTTCTTATAGAAACTTTGTGTGATAATTTGTTGTGGCAATCTATATTGCGTAGTGGAATGGTAAGCTGGTCACGCCTCTACAAGTGCAAAAGACGAAGTATAATTGAAAACTACTTTATAGAAGTCTTATACGTGCCACAAAGATGGATCACTACTAGTTGTGAGTGCCTGATGGTTGGAATATTAATCCATGATTCTCTATATCAGTTAACTAGTTGGTTGGTTAACCCGCCAGAGATTTATATAAAGTCAAGGGAAGTCGTTAAAATAGCCAAAACACAAACCAACATCCAATGAGAGCCAAATTTCTTCGCAATAAAAGACAAAAAATATTAATACCACTTCCAGAACCGCAATGTATACCTAAGGTGATGATTTTCTTTATCAAAAACCAAACATCTATGCATCGCAGTCTTCAGCGAATGGTCGTGTAGGAAGCTCCCACTTGACCTAGAGAGTATAGAGATGATTTTCTCTATCATGGCGATTGACTTGGAAGAGTGTACCTTCAGTATATGATGCTATTGCATCATATTTATTGAGGTTCGAGATGAGCAACCGAGATGACGGGATGGATACGCCAGGTATCAGGAAGTTGGAGACGGTACGCCAGAGGGGACACCTTCTTAAGAACAAGAAAAGGCCCGCGGCGGAGGACAGACAGCTTTAAGGAGTTCGGAAGGGAGTATCCTTTCTCAGCAGAACCGGAGACTCGTAGGAAGACGTAGTCACCTTCCCGAATAGCAGGGAGCAGACGAGTATTCAATGCGTTAGTAGCCATTCGCGCTACCACAAGAGCCTGAGTATCGCGGATGGAACAGCGGAGGGCGTCTTTGTCTAGAAGCAAGGCGGACGTCGGTGTAGATGTTGATAGAAGTCTAGGTATAACACCATAAAGGACTTCGTAGGGCGACGTCGACGTTACTAGAGAGGGGTTGGTATTCAGGTAGCGTTGAACATCCGGCAGTAGGTCGAACCAGGAGGACTCGTATTTCCCAACGAGGAGACAGCGTAGGAGAACCTAGAGGGGGCTTATCTCCACTTATTCTTGAAGGGCTGTCACATCGCCTAGCTTTGGATCTCGAGCGACCAATTCCGGGTGGCCTGTAACATCGGGGTCAGGGTTGGAATAGTGGCAATGATATAACTACCATATCTCTGCAGCCAATAAGTGACTTCCCTTTTTAGCCCAGCGGTTTGATAAATAATTACAATTGATATCCTTGAATCTCAATTGTAAACCATGAGGGGTTATGCCAGAAGTCCCGAGGAGACATATCTCGTTCAATGTGGGCGGTCGAGGGTTGTAGTGTTTCCCGCGTCTAAACCATTTTGTCTCTGCTATTCGTTCAAATTGACAAACGATCTGCAACGTTTAAGTGTTTGCACTCTCAGAATCTTCGACTTTTATACAAGGGGCATCATCCACGACATGTCCAGCGTTGGCTATCACCAGCCTCCGCGGGCCAAAATTTTCAAGCACCTCTATAAACCAAATGGTTCCATATGAAAAAACATCTCATTGAGATTTAGAGAAAATTGTTCAGAAACTATGTATGATTTTACAGCCTGCTCACACGCTCTCGAGTTGTATATTGCCTGGTTTCCGCTGAACCAAAGCTAGATTTGGCATATCCCGTAATTCTGGGGGAACAACAGGTTCTGCTCCGTCCCAATATATCTCATGGACTAAGCGCTCTGGGGATCCACTGAGCCCAATAGACTCTGTATGAGCTCTATAAGTAGTCGGAACCCGTTGATTAGTTCTCATGATTCATAGAATTAACAGAAGCATATCACCTACGAAGGAAAAATTGCGAAGCACGAAGGAGCGATGGAATCTCTCAACACGCTTGCAGCTACACTTTTGGTAACAGTGGCCCCTTCGAATGTCTTCGGGACAAACTTGAACACAAACTCATCTGTCCAAGAGATGTTATTCCCCACGCGATTCTCATGCATGAAAAGAAGGACATCTCGGAGGCCCGCCGCGTTCAAGCGAATACTCCTGGCCAGACGACGCTTTCTCCTGTGGCGATCGAGCGTGCCATTTTGACCGGGCCTGTCGTCTGGGGTCCAAAGGGCTGGACGATCGTTCGCGTCTGCT